AGGATCAGGCAGGAGGGAAAACAGAAGCCAGCCTCCACCGGCCCTTCCCCGACAGCTCGCGCCCCCCCCCCAGGCATCAAGAGGCCGAAGGGCCACCCAGCCCAGGAGCCCGGCTGCGCTCGATGGAGGACTGGGCTTCAGGATAAGTCACGCCATGAAGGGACAGGCATGGCTTTCTGCATTTTCCCTCCTGGCACATAAATCGTTCAGAGCCCCACACAGCTGGGAAGTCAGAGGATGTCAGCGGAGGCCTTTCTTGAACCTTCTGATGACAAACACTTTCAAGCCAAAAACCGGCCCGCTTGCAAAACGTGGCCAGAGACCATTTTGCATGGTGGCTCATGGCCTTGTCTTTTGAGCCTTGCCCCGGGAGCTGTCCTTATAATAAATACTCGCGCTTCCCCTGCGGGCGATGAGAGGAGGTGGGGGGGGGTTGGTTCTGTTGGAGAAGATTGTGCCCTTTCTGTGCATTTTCGGCCCCACCATGTTGGAGCGTAGCAAGTTCCCAGAACCCATGGAGGGTGGCCCCCTTCCAAGAACAAATAAACAAACCTACAACAACCAGAAACCGAAGAGGCCAGAAGTGCACTTCTAGTCTTGTGAAAACCCCGGTTTTCAGAGAAGGCACACCTACGAGGGCCAAGTTGTCCTGGCAGCTTAGAGACCTTCATTTCCCCACAGCGGGGAAGTGGGGCAGCAGGTGGCCAAGGGGCTCAAGAATCCCACCTCTGCGCTGTGCTTTCCACTCCACCCCACCCCAGGGATGGATGCCCTTGGAAGTATTCTGCCCTGGTTTTTAAGCCGTGCAGTTTCCAGTGAAGACAAGCAGGGTCACTTGGCCCCATGTGTCCCTCAATGTTTCAGACTTTTTTTTCTGGCAACAAGCGGTTTGTGGGATTCTTGAGGAAGGTTCTGGGCTGCTCCTGGTTTGGCTGAAGGGAACAGAACGAGTTGCCTGCTGTCTCCGCGCATCTTGTAAGTGCCTTAGCCTCGGCAAGGCTAAGCAAAGGGGCTCCCGCAGCATCTTATCCGGGCTTACAGGGACATCTGCTGGAACTGAGGAAATGCAGACATTGGTGCCTCTCGTGTGTGTGTGTGTGTGTGTGTGTGTGTGTGTGTGTGTGTGTGTGTGTGTGAGAGAGAGAGAGAGAGAGAGAGAGATTTATTTTCCTCTCCTTTCAAAACATTCAGAGGGGCGGGCACAGTCATTTTCCTTTTCCGTGGCTCAAGCCTACTTCATGGCTAACAGCAGGTTTGAACCCAGGTCTCTCTGGCGCTGTTCCCACACTTGAGCCACTCCAATCCTCACTTGCCCTCAGCAGACTTTTAAGTAAGGATGTAAATAGTCCCCCGAGGGAA